GCATCCACTGAACCTATCACTCCTTCCTCTGTCGGTGGTAGAAGTCGGAGGAGCCCAAATGACAAGCGGCTTGATCTCCTGGAACAATGCAAGCCTGAAGTTCGCCGGTTTGCTTTGATTATATTCCCTACTCTTACGGATGCGTTTTCAAGCACAGTCAATCTCAGCGTTCGACAAAAGGTGCTTACAGCTCAACTCAAAATGCTGTCCAATCTGGATGAAGATATTCTCGTAGAAGCCCTGGTTCCTGTTCCCTATGCATCATTTTTAGCATCAATTCTGTCACAGCAAGACCACCCGTCTCTTGTCATGTTAGGTTTGCAAGCCACGGAGCTTCTTGTAAGCAGACTCGAGTCAATTTATCGATATCAACTGTATCGAGAAGGTGTCATCCACGAGATCAACAAGCTGGCATCCCAAGAGGACCCGTTGGACTTGAAGAAGGAAGAATCCGATGACGATGAGGAACACGGAGGTGAAGACGAGGACGAAAACGACGACCACGATTGTGAAGAGAAGCCACAAGACACTTCGAAAGATGAGTCGAACAATCGCATGCAGTCTTCATCCAGTGTTGTAGGTGTCGAGGAGCATGAGAATAATGGTGAGGAGGCTGGAGCGGGCGGCGACGACAATAACTCTTCTGGGGACGATGATGAAGATGAACACGATGACGAAGACGCGGACGATGATGAAGAAAACGACGGTGATCACGTCCCTGGCGATATGTCTCCTGCTAGTTCCCGTGGGTCTACCATGTCAGTGGACATGCCACCTCATCGTTATATCTCGGATATGAAGTCCATGACGTCTCGGATTCGGAATGTTGCCAAAAAATTCCTCGAAAACCACGAAGGAGGGGAACATGCACAAACCATGAAGAACAAAGCCATGCTCATCCTCCATGACTTGTCTGACTTGGCCACAGAGCTGGAGACATACTATCTGAAACGGCCTTCTGCTACGCTTGGAGGAGCGCAAAAGGACAAAGAGCTGTTCTCACAGCTTGCGTCCTATTTTGATACCGATGTCCTTGAAAGTGTTACTAGTGCTGAGTTGTTGGCGTCTGGACTCGTACAGACTTTGCTTGATATCTTTAGCAACCCTGACGAAGAACTTGCCCGGTCGGCCCAATCTACCTTCCTGGAGGTCTTCATGGGCTTCTCACTCAAATCAAAGCCAAAGACGGCGACGGCAGATTCGCCCGCTACCCCATTCAGCGTTCTGGTACACAAAATGCAAGATTTGCTCAGTAGGTCAGAGCATTTTGAAGTGCTTACCGTTCATCACAACACCTTTGATGGAAACCGAAGCAGCCCTGCATCGATGCTTGGTAAACAAATTCGACTTCGCCTTGTGGCAGACGACGAGTCCAACATTCCCCGACCGTACAGGAATATCATGGTATCGATTCATGCAATTGCCACCTTCAAGTCGTTGGACGATTATCTTCGACCTCGGATAAGTTTGGCAGAACGGCCACCAATTGGCCGTAGAGATGGACTTTCTAGAGCCCTTGCTGCTGTCGCCGGCATGGGAGGGCTACAATTTAGCACCACAGCTGGTGCAGCTAGTGCCAGACTCACTGAAAGATCACCGTTTGGCTCTGTACCTCCTCCTCCTCCGCCGCCTCCGCCTCCTGGAGCTACTGCAACTCCGTCGAGTTCCCGGTACTCTCGAAGGCCTAAGAATCGGTCAATGCCTCAGCCCAACACCCCGGCGACCCCGCAAGATCCCTCTGCTGGCCCGTCCCATGACAAGGGTATTCTACGCCGTTCCTCAAGACGTCAAGTAGTATCAACTGAGGAGACACCGTTATCGCGACCACCACCAACTGGTGGGGACGACACGCAGAATACTCTTGAGTGTGCTGATGAGAAGCAAATATCTGATGAGGATGACCTGGAAGATGGCAGTGCCCTAGATGCAATCGTGGGTGAGCTTGATGAGGATATGGATGACGCAGACCATGCCGGATCTGGACCGGATCCTTCTGCCGTGAATCTTGAGGTGGCCACTGGCGGGAAAATAACTGCAAGAAAGGACGATGGAACTAGAGTTCCTACTCCGTCCAGCTCAGGTCTCTTCGGTAGCCGCAGTGGCGGTAGCGGTGCTACCGTTCCTGGAGGGCCGCCTCCGCCACCCCCATCCTCAGGCCAGGGAACTCCGACGCCAGCGACATCGCGACCACCTATGTCGTACTCTTTGGCTCTCCAAGCCATTCCCCAAGACTGGCATATTGAATTCAGTCTTGACAGTAAAGTAATCCCAAACGAGACCACCATATATCGAGCCGTTCATACATCCACTTCTACTTCTGATGAACTTGTTAGCCGCAGCATCTGGTCTGCTACACACCCCATCAAATTCCGCCGTGTCCCTGGACCACCAACTGCCGAACCTGCTACATTTGGTAGCAACCCAGACAGTGAAGGCGAAACAGTGAATGGCATTCCCGCATCTCTGGCGAAGAACCCAACTACGGCTTCTATCCTGCGTCTGCTCAACATTTTGCACGAATTGAACGCGAACATTGAGGATGTCTTGGCCGAGAACAGGAACAGTTCTATAAGTCTCAACGTGGAACCTCTATCCCAGTTTGTCAATACCAAATTGACGGCAAAACTGAACAGGCAGTTAGAGGAGCCCCTAATTGTAGCCAGCAGCTGCCTCCCTGGCTGGTCCGAGGACTTGGCTCGCTTGTATCCCTTCTTGTTCCCTTTTGAGACGAGACATCTCTTCCTCCAGTCCACGTCTTTCGGATACGCCCGATCGATGGCAAGGTGGCAGAATGCGCAGTCTGAAGATAGCCGCAGAGATCGAAACAATGATCGGCCATTCCTTGGTCGATTGCAACGGCAGAAAGTCCGAATCTCGCGACTCAAGATTCTCGAATCGGCTCTCAAGGTCATGGATCTATATGGTGCCTCCCAGAGTATCCTGGAGGTGGAGTATTTTGAGGAAGTCGGCACTGGCTTGGGACCAACCCTGGAGTTTTATTCAACGGTATCAAAGGAGTTCTCCAAGAAGAAGCTCAAGCTCTGGCGTGAAATGGACTCAGTAGGATCCGATGAGTTTGTGACCGGCCAGACTGGGCTATTTCCCCGGCCCCTGAACCAGGAGGAGCTCTCAGCGCCTAATGGGGAGCGGATCCTCCATTTGTTTAAGATGCTTGGCAAGTTTGTCGCTCGATCAATGATTGATTCTCGCATTATCGATATTCACTTTAACCCGATATTCTTCCGCATTGGCGATGCCCCAAGTACAGGCATCAAGCCTTCTCTTGGCGCCGTCAAAATAGTTGATCCCGGTCTTGCTCGTTCTTTGAAGACGATCAAGAAGTTTGCACTGGCCAAGAAGGAGATTGACGAGGATCCCAACCGTACGGCTGCACAGAAAGTAGCAGATACAGAGTCCATTGTGATCGATAACGTCCGCTTGGATGATCTGTGCCTGGATTTCACCCTACCGGGTTATCCTAACATTGAACTTGAGGATCATGGATCTCACAAGCGTGTGACAATCGAGAACGTGGACATTTACCTTGAAAAGGTCATTGATATGACTCTAGGATCTGGTGTCCGTCAGCAGGTCGATGCGTTCCGAAGCGGCTTTTCACAAGTCTTCCCTTACTCTGCACTAAGTGCGTTCACTCCAGATGAGCTTGTGAGCTTGTTTGGAAAAGTTGAGGAGGATTGGTCTTTGGAGAGTATGCCATTCCTACGCTATTCCTACGTGCGTCGTCAATGTTGCAATGGAGATCCTGGCTAACGTGACTCGTTTTTCCAGCTCTTACCGACTCTATCAAGGCCGATCATGGCTTCAACATGGATAGCCGTAGCGTGAAGAACTTGCTACAATCCATGAGCGAGTTTGACGTGCAACAGCGACGTGACTTTTTGCAATTTACTACGGGTAGCCCCAAGCTTCCAATTGGAGGTGAGCGTTCTTGCTCCCCGTCTGTCAGGAACACGAAGATGCTAACAAGTAATTGCGACAGGCTTCCGAAGCTTGACTCCCATGTTTACCGTTGTATGCAAACCAAGCGAGGACCCTTACACATCTGATGACTACCTGCCCAGTGTCATGACGTGCGTCAACTACTTGAAGTTACCCGATTACACTACTATCGAGACGATGAAGAAACAACTATATAAGGCAATGAAGGAGGGCCAAGGTGCCTTTCACCTGTCATGAAAACTTACACGGTCATGGCCGTGAGGGTTTCATACACTCCGCCTACCTTTCTTTAAGAAAGACCTCACGGAACCTGAATGAAACTGCACTTGACCGTGTCTTAATTCTTTCATATCAAACTCTGCAAACATGAAGCGTCTTGTGTACTACAGATTTGAAGTATCCCCACCAATCACTGGCGCATTTTAACGACATGACGGAGAACGTAATGGTGGTCTTGGGAGGCGACGAAGAGGAAAATGGATAGACGGATGAAAACCTTGTGACATACTTATCGCATTTGCAGGCTTTCGGTGATGGATGCCTGCTTCAACAATTATTTCTCGCGCAAAGTTGGAACGGATGATTCCCAAAGCCGTTGAAAATTGGTTCCTATTGTACGAAGAAAAGTGACGAAGTGCAGACAGGCAAACACGTGAATCAGGCATGGCAGTTAGGTATAGAAATTGACTTTTGTTCATATGACGGCAATTTTTCCCAGGAGATGCGTAGACGTTGTTTACTATGCTCCGATGAGCCACCTCCGACTCATCGAATATGAGCACGCGATGCGTGGGGGGACCTGGGCTATATGACGTATTACAAGTATGCGCATAGTTTCATGTATTGAATCATGACGAAAGTGTGCATGCTGTTCGATTGTGTGAGCTAACAGACGTACAATCTCAAACAAGGAACGAATAACACTATGCCTGAACACCATGGATCCCCCAAATTTCATGTGGTATATACGATGACGATTCCATACAGGTCGTGTTCTAATTATCTCATTCCACCAACGCGCACAATTTACTAGGCTCCGCCTACAAAGAAACATCCTCTTCATCGGAGTCCCATATCTCGGGCTGTACGGGTGGAGTATGGTCCTGTATCAAACTATCCGGCAGCATCTGACTCTTCGTCAAGAGCTGTGAAGTGGACCCCGGAGAAGACGGGATGGGTAAACTGCTGAGGTGACTACTTTCAGCGAACTGCACACTGCTCTGGGAGGGATCGAATGGCGGAGGCGGGGGCATGCTTGCCGGCTGTTGTTGAGTCTGTCCCTCGGGGGTGGGTGGTTGCGAGAGGGTGGTGGCTTGGGAAGGCCGGACGGTTCTTGAGGGCTGCCTGGGTGCCGGGGGGGCAGGGAGAGTGGTTGTTCTTGACGAGGAGCGGAGTTTAAGGGGCTCATTCGAGTCTGGCGTTGACGGCACCATGTCGTCTGACGTTGGGAACTGAGTGGACGATGCGATGTCGCTGTGGATTTGGGCCGTGATCTGTTGCGACACTGTCATGCTGCCTGGTGGTGTGGAACCTGGGGCCCGGTTTCGTGCGCGGTCTTTGCCGTCTCCTTGAGGCAGTTTGGGCTGAGGGCTGGAACGGACGGGGGAACTGGCGACTTGTTGCTGCTCGGAGGGCTGGTCGGCAAATAGGGCGTGTCTCAAGTTCCAGAGCAGTTGACCGATAACAGCGGGCGGCAGATATTTGTATCGGGTGATTTGGCCACGCAGCCATCCTTCTTGGCGCATGTCGTCTTCACAAACGGGATTGTTTAGCTCGTATACTTGGGTGGCGTGGAATCGCCACTTCCCCTGGGAAGATGATGAGGAGGAGGAGGAGGAGCCGGCAGCTTGGACTTGCTGACCTGGCTCGACAGAGGCCATGTATCGGAGGAGGCTGTTCTCGAAGAGCCAGAAGCGGACGACCTGAGAGGGGATTTTGAAGGACGAGGCGACGTGCAGCGTGTTTCCGGTTATGAGGCCTTCGAGGGAGGAGGTTGAGACGGGGAGGAGTATGTCTGATTTTGCGGATGGAGCGGGGAGGGATTGAAGAATGGAGACGTGGACACGTTGAGATTCCCATGGTTGGCTTTGGATTTGAGTGTGGCCAGAGAGATGGGCGAGGGGTTTGCGGATGGGTTTGGGTCGCGGCGGAGTTGTTGGCCTCGACGATGTTGAGAATGCATGGACTGGCTGATTTGCTGTAGATTGCTGCTCGTATTGGACTGTTGCTGATACAGGTTCGGCCTGCGTATGCATCGTTGATGTCGGTGGCGAACAGGGCACTGCATCCTGGCAACTGTGCTGGTTCTCTTCTGTGGACGCAAGCTCACTCAAGACCAGCTGTGTCTCAACGCCGGCACCATATCTCTTGTCTATGCTTTTGCCGTCATCTTCATCTTCTTCTTCGCCGAATTCGTCATCATCCTCGTCGGAATCGGGGATCTCGTATAGCCCTCTCCCCGCAGCTAGCTTCTTTGGTGAAGGGGATTCTCTCCACGGACGTCTCCTCTTCGTCGGCGTGTCGTCGTCCCCAACAGGGTTCAATATAGACGGTGTATCAAGCAAAAGACGCAGAGGGGTTGGTGTTCTAATTTGTGATATTTTCGCTTGGTTCTTGCTGGGCGTGGTGCAACCATCTGTTGTATATGAGTCTTGAATGACCAGCGAAGACTGTTTCGTAACACCCGGTGAGGCACGTCGTGGCTCCCCGGTCAGTTTCACTGGAGGCGGTTTCATGGGCGAAGAATGATTCTTCAACGGCGAGTCCTGCTGATCTGGCGCTCCGTAGCGCTCAACCATCCTCTCACTGGGAGACTGCAGCCCCTCCGAGGGAAGATCAAACCGAATGCAAGTCTTCTTCTTCGCAGGGGTCTGGGGAATAACGGAATCCTCCCGAGACATGCTTAGATCCGCTGCCGAGGCAGTAAATGCAGCCGTTTCTTCATGACGCCGCTTCATAGCTGGCGGTGAAACGTGCCGTTTGCCTCGCCCAGCGCTCGGACTACCGGGTTCGCCTAGCCACGAAAGAAATCCATCGTCTCCATCCTTGTCAAGATCTAGGTCGTCATCCGAGTCGGCTACGAAGGATGTCTGGTGACCCAAGAACTGCGTGAGTGTTTGCGTATGATAATTCGAACATGTTGGCATGTCGGCCAACGTCTTCCGCCGTGATTTGTCCTCCTTCCTGGATGTAATCGCTTTGTTTGCTTCATCGCCCATAGTTCGTCGTCTTTTTTTTCCCTGCCTTATCGATGGGGCTGCTCTCTTTCGTCTCATTGAAACAGGTTCTTCAACATCTTCCTCCTCCTCTTCCACTTTCTCTCCTTCTTCTTGCGCATTTTGATCCTGTCCGTCTGGTAAACCAGGCTTCACATTCTCCTTGTCCTCTGAACCAAGGTCTCCATCTTGGACATCATCATCGCTATCGCTGAGGGTTATAACGTCCTCGCCGAAGCTTGAGACAAAATCGATCTGAGTCAAGGTCTGTTGCTTCAGACTCGGACGCTCAGAGCTTTCACATCTCCGAATCTTCTTTCGTCGCGCAGGGAATTGTACTTGTTGCAAGGCGGGTGAGGAGTTGTATACTCGGCTGGGAGGGGGGACGCCACGAGAACGTGTTTCGGGGGCCATGGCCGCTGGAGTCTGCCTTTGAGACTTCAAATGGGAGAGCGCAGTAGATAAACAGAAAGCCTATATTGAGAGGTTCATGAGATGGGGAGCTTCATGGACATGAACGATGACGCCGAGGTGGTGGTGGTGGTGGGGCGATGTTCAACGCGTCTCGTTACTTTACGCGTTGGGCACCCATGAGACATCCCTGTCAAGGCACAACCCCAACCCTAATGTAACCATTGCATATTCTTGTCGCTTCACCAGTATCAGTCAGTTATGCTACAACATCGGTTTCATTGCTTCACATACGTCATTTTCCATGATAGTGTACATGCGTTCGCAGACGCCAACATGCTTCATGCCCGCGCGTCTTTTAAACAGCCTCGCTATCGTATGCAAGCTCCAATCAGAAATAAATGATGCTTCCTCCCATTAATGAAAGCTCTCCTACCCACCCATCCTGGCCACTTATCTGAAGGCCAGCTTGACATCAGCCCTAGGCCATTCAAATGGCACATCGCCTCCGTACACATCCGTGGTGACTTGGCCGATTCTGGTTTCCACATTGAGATAAAACTTCTCACATTCAGATGTCACCTTTGCCACTAGAGCACGACTGAGCGCAGGGTCATCGGCGTCGCCAAAGTGTTTCTCAACACGCTTGCGCAGGGCTTCTACTCCCTTGCGGACCTCCTTGGAATCAAAGTTGCCAAGAATCTTGTTGAATATGGCCTTGTCATTGGAAGGTTGTTGCGCAATGGCCGTAGGTGATTTGCCCGACTGTATTTGTGCCTCGATGTTCTCAAGGTAGTCCAGCAGCTTGCCGAGGGGCCTGCGCATGACAGCGTTGAGGTACATGTCCATGTGCTCATGATACTCGGTGTTAGCTTGGTCTTTCCACTCCTCTAGCACTTCAAGGCCCCGCGTATCCGTCTCCTCAAGGAAATGATTCATATTTTCGATGAGCAAGATGTGGAAGTTGAGTGCTTCCTTGTCCTCGGGATCAGCCGGCCCGGTAGACACGCCCACAACAGCTGGCCGCTCTCGAGCAATGACCATGAGCGAGTCAAACATGGACTTGAGGATGCGATCATACTCTCGGTCGATCATACGGCGGAGCGCCAAGTTCGCATCGAGCCCGCTCATCATATTTTCCACCGCCGACATGAATGCTGGGAAGACGCGGAAGAAGGAAATGACTCCTTTTCGCTTGTTGATTTTGACCTTTGTTTCCTCAATGGCCTTGATCTGCTCATCCACAAACTTGCTGAAGCGACCTTCCAGAAGACTGTGCAGCTTTTGCAATAATGTGTTCAGGTAATCCTGGTTAGATTGGCTAATTTCAGACAACTTCCTTTCTAGCGTTGCGAGAACACCGACTCCTTGTCTATAGGAATGATTAGTATGAGAGTCGATCCGTATTTGACACGACGACTTACAATGGATCTTGTCCAACCACCCATTCCATGAGTCGCTGCAATTCAGACTCAAGGAAGGCAAATATCACCTCCATAGAACGAGTCACTCTTCGTGCCAAGTCACGATCTGGCTCCATGGGACGGTGGCGCTTCAAATCCCCCCCGCGTCGGTCTCGAGGAGCGTTCACAGCCACAGCATCAGTGAAATCCGCCTGCTCCAGAGTAGTCGCATGGAAGAAGTCGATAATGAAGTTCTGTTCCATCTCAACCAACGGCAGAAGGTCATCCAATACGCCGGAGAATACTTCATACGGAAAGCTTCTGCTGTCGGTTGTAGGCGATTTCTCTGGATTGGCTCGGTTACTGCTGTCTGCAAGCGGCGACCGAAGAGCTCTGGCCAAGGTCTGACTGCGCTTCACCGTCATCTTTCTGGCGGCGGTTGCGACGCCATCTTGTTGTTTCTCAACCTGCGATGAGAACAGCAGTTCGGCCTCTTCTCCTGTTGTCTTTCTTGCATTCTTACGCCATATACTAATGACATTTTGGAATTGGCCCTTGTACAGCGGGTGGCTCTTGTCCTGATAGATCTGAATGAGGTGATTCCAATTGCTCAAGTCAACGTCTCGAGCATACAGCATCAGGGGACTGTACTGCCACAGCAAATCTCGGCCGGCATCGTAGTGGGACGAGTCCACCTTTTTGGAGAGAGCACCCTCTAGCGCACGTTTTGAACCGGCGCATGCCTCATCAAACTGGCGAGACATGAACTCAATAAGTCGTTGCATAAAGAATGCGCTCTGCTGAAGGTACATCTGTTTCTTTTCTTGCACAATTCTCATATTATCGTAGTCAGAATTGAAGACCGGGGGTTGGTTGGCGCTAGACTGGGTCCTTGGTGTTGGCTCAATGCCTCCTAATGAAGGATCAATTTTGATCATGGCCTTGAAGAGTGTCACAAGGGCTGCCTCGACATCCTCTAGGCCGCGCGGGTTGTCCAAAGGAGCGAGCCGCAGAGCCTCCAGGTCTCCTGCTGTAATAGCACAAGTTTCTAATAGCGATTCCAATTCTTTTTTCAAAAGCTTTTGATTTGCTGTTTGCACTTGAAGACCTTGACCTTGAGCTTCGATATAGGCGATGTCATCTGACAGTGTCTAGTAGCATGTGTTAGCTAAGAAGCTTACCGTCAAATATTTGGTGTCCCCGGTTCATCTTACCGAAAGTTCAACAGAGTAAAGAGTTAGAAGATTATCCAGCTCTTCACACTCTCCCATGGCTAGATCGATGCCACGTTTGATAGCTTCCACTCGATCGTCTTCCTCTTGAAATCTGGCGAGCCAACCACCAGCTTGAGCTCTGTTGATCTCTCTTTCCATGTCTGTCTTTATCTCCTCTGCCGAATGAGAGCGCATTCCCTGTCCGGGAACCCAGCCAAAATAATCCAGCCACTTACCGAACTCCTCACTCCGATCATCGAGAAGGCTCGGGTCCACGCCGAGACCTTGCAGGTCTTTCGCATCATTCCCTGTCACGATAGACCTTCTTGGTGCTTCTTTGGGCGCTTCCTCTTTCTTGGCTTTGTCTGGCTCAACAGTCGTTGCTTGACTGGCATTTGGGATAGTAACGGTTACCTCTGGAACCGCTGTGGAAGCCCGAGTTGAAGCCGGTGAGCCGCCAGCAGCAGGCTTCGGGCTTTCAGCCGACGTTTCCACAGGGGCGGAAACCGGTTTAGAGATGTCAGGGGTGACCGGGCGAGGTGGCGCAGGTACGACGCCAGTGATGCCGTCAGGTCCGTCAGGTTTAAGCTGCGCTTGACGTAAACGCTCTCCGGCACCACCTGGACGAGGACGAAAAGCCGAGGCAGCCGATGCAGCTTTCCACAGCGCTCCAGCAATGTCACCCTTCGACTTCTTCTGTCTGATCATGGGCCCTAACCCTGGTCGTGTCTCTTCCTCAGGCTCAGGCGGCGGCTCCAAAACAGGTGCGGTATCGTTAGAAGTCGGAACTGATAATGAGGTGGTGGAGTTGTTGGTTGGCTCTGTTGTTGTTTCAGGATTACTGCTCTCCGATCTTGGCTTGTCCAACGGCGGGATTGTTAGAGGTGGCATGGCTCGGTCTGCTGGTACGGGAGGCGGTTGGCTAGTATCGGTCCTAGGTGATATTCTATCACTGCTTCTGGGTGGTGGGACAACAGGTTCCTTTCTCACTGTTGGACTGTTCAGCGGCGGAGGAACAAGATCGCGGTCTTGAGGTCGAGTGGGATCCATTGGCGGGCGTCGTCTTTCAGGCGGTGGCTTCCCCTCTGCTTGAGGCGGTCCTTGAGGAGGAGGTGTGGGAAGCGATTCTTGAGGAGCTTCAGGAGGTTCTCGGGAATCCCCAAAGCGCCCAAATGCTCCGGGACCATTCATACCATTTCGAGAGCGAGGCGGTTGACTTGACGTATCTTCGCTTCTCGCGGTAGTGAACGAGTTGGCCACAGAATCCTGACTCTTGTTTGCTTGGTTTGTCCATCTTGGACCCGGACGATCCCCCGGACGATCCCTTGACATTGCCGATTCGAAGCTACCTGCGGGTGAATTGCTGCCGTTCAACGGCGGTCGCATAGCCACAGGGCTCTTCTGGAACCGAGCGGGATCAGGCGCACTCGAAGTCGGTGGCACCAGCGGCGGAGCTGAGGGGCCGGGCGGAATACTTGGCGCTGGAGAACCCGAAATTGCGCTCTGTTGACTAGGAGTTTGCTCAAGCGGAGGAGGCCGTGATGCAGATGCAGCAGGCCGTCTTCCAGCCCCCAACACTTGGTCGAGCTCTTTCTGATCAAAACCAGCCAGCTCGGGGGTCTTGCCACCAGTATACTTTCCGTAAATTTTGATTAGGCTGGCAATGAAGAACTTCTTTTCTTTGTCGGTCTGTGCCTCCCAGTAGTACGGCTTGCCAAGAGTCACCAAAAAGCCAGTTTCGCCTCCCCATTCTCGATTGTTTGGCTTCACCTGGGGCCCAGTGAAGGACCCAATATGGGTCAGGTCATCAAGGTTCCATGTCTTGCCGATTGAGAAGGTCCCGTTGGCATTTTCTTTTGACTTGTGCATGCGAACCCGGCCCGACTTGCGTACTGCCACAATGATGACTCTGGCTTTCTCGACTTCGGGGGTACGAGCCTGCGGTGGCGGAGGGGTTGACGGATGGGAGGAATATTCGAGGGTGCGGATGTGCGTGATGTAGGTCTCGAGAACTGGTGTATCCCTGGGGTCAGTTTACCATTATTCGATATTGGCAAATCAAGCCCCGAAGCTTTTTGGCTGTGAATTCTATAGGCAGGGCTCAGGTGTGCAAGCAGCTCAGTCATGGCATAGCAGAGCCCACACTCCAAACTCCTTCACGCCAGCGGCTGCAAGGACAGCATCGGGCCAAATACTTACGAGAGCCATCAGCGTCCTTTTTGCTAAAACAGCTTTCGATTATCCGGCGCTTTTCATCCTCGAATCGCTCCGCCCTCGAGGCGGCAGTAGCGCCAGGGCCGGCTCCATTTGCGCGGTCCATCTGTAAGCGCGTCGTCGAGCGGGATCATGAAGGGGAGTCGGCAACGGGGACAGGAGGTGAGAGCAT